ATAATAAAGCCTCTGTAACTTATGAAATAAAGCTCAGTTTCTGTTGTTAGAATGTTTGTTAGCTGCTGAAGTCTATTATTTGTACAGAATCACTGCAAGCTAGCTCCTCCATGTGAAGAATAGTTACCGGAACTAACTGATTTGTTAGGACTCTTATAAAAAAACTTATTTTCTTTATTGGAGATTCACTTAAATCTCTCCTCTTTGCAGTAAATACTCATCACAAAATTCTTAGTTTTTCCTCTGTTTTATCTAATTTTCTAGATACAAATAATTAAGAAATGTTATTTGTTCAAAAAATGAGTAAAACCATAAAATTTTAATTCTTCTTTCTACAGTTAGGAATTTAAAGGATAGACTCTACGATTAAGCAGTTCAAAAAGAGTTGTTAATTTTGAGCTTAGCAGCAGTTATTGAAACAACAACTTGTCTTTTCCACCAAGATTACCCATCTGACCTGATTTCACTTTAAACACTTGCATGGATAGCTAAATTTCAAGGATGTCAAATCCAATATGGAAGATGAAGAAAATAAAAGCACTGAAAACCCAAGTAAAACCCCTCTTCCATTTTATTCAGTATTTCTCCACTTTTTTCTTATTTAGTAACATAATTCTTCCACCAGGTTCATTTTCACATGCACTTCCTTAGCTGTAGTAGCTCCTATTATGTCAACTCTGTATTGATTTACCACACTAAACACGTTATGTTTACTGTCTATGGAACTGGAAGGTCAGCCACTGTCAACTACAGACGGATACTAATAAACAAGTTGGAAGTTAATCATTATAAAAGCCCATGAAGACCCGAGGGATTACCGGAAAAAATGGCAAGCTCAAATCAGCCACTACTGGTTCAACCTGTGGGAAACTAAAGGACTCCAGATCATCATTTATAAGTTTGCTGAAAAATACTCGGAGTATTAGGATTGAGAATCAAGGGGAATAGCCAGATAGGGTGATGTTCACTTATCAACAGTACAGCAGTATGTTTAGCATGTTAAACAAACAATCTCATAGTAATCTACTACCTCTGGGATACACAAGGAAATAATTAAGCAGAACTGTGCATTTAGAGATATGCATATTCACAAACACTAAAACTTGAACATACCAAAAATTTGATGTTGGAAAATCCATCACGATCAGCAAGGCTTTGGGCAAGGTTGACAGCCCTTTCACTATAATCAGTCCCAGTTAAATCAGAGAACCTGAAAAGAAGGCAAGATTTTTCTTAATAATATGTTTGTGATAAGTAAATGACATCTCTTCGCAACCTATATACAGAATTGCAAGAAGCTAGAGCGAGAAAAAAATGGTTTCTTATCAATGTTCAACCAGTAAGGTTTCAGACACACGCACATCCCTAAATTTTCATTTTAATCATTCAATTCATTTCCTTTAAAAAGATAATCATGAAACACATAAGATTATTTTTAAGAGATTTTGGTATAGAAAAATCTCATCCTTATAGCTTCAATGGCATGCATGATCATGAGCTTATATTATATGGATTGATTTGAATCAAGTATTTAATTAAATTTTCATATTTTTATAAATTACTTAATATAAACCATTTATTACCTTTGCCATCGAGAAATTATCATTCAAAAAGTGTTCACATATTTATTTGGTACAAATAGTAAAACCTTCTGCTGTCCATCAATTAGAAGAAGGCGCTGAGACATTTTTGTCTAGAGAAGAGAAGATGGATGGTAAATATTGTTGTTGCAAAATTAAAGAGAAAGACAATAGCCTTTTTGTTTATTTAGAAATATATTTTTGCATTTATTGACATACGCATATATTAGTAGTTGTTACCAAAATATGGCCAAACATGAAACCATACCCTTGTTTAGCTAATTCTTGAAGAAGTAAACCATTTCCAGTTCCAATATCTAACACGCTCCAACTAGACAAAAGTTTATCATCTAGTTCACTAGCTTCAGCCTTAACAGCATCAACATCATTTGGTATCCGACCTTGAGAAATTTCAACACACAAGGCTTTTGTCCAAGATGCAACAACTTCCATCACATCAACTCCAAACCTACACAAATGGAAGAAAAAACCAAAAAAATAAAATTAAACTAAACATTATTGCTATGAAAACCTAGAGAATGCATCACTTCCAACAACTAATAGAAAAATGCATCATTGTCTAGAAGTTGACAAGTTTAAATAAACTTTAATAAAAAGCACAAGAGAAGCCACAGTTCTTTACTATTAAGGAATACGGGTATATAAACTCAGAATTATAGGCCAGACTAGAAAAGTATGAAGCAGTGATCCGAACAAATAAATTTCTTGCTAACTGAGGGGAAGCAGAGTATCAAATTCAAGGTGTAAATGATGCAAAACAATTTTTCTAACTCATTCTGTTACCTTACATAAGTTCCTACAAATGCCCATCCGTCTTTTCAAACAGAAAAAAAATCAGAATACATGTAATCTTGGTCATCCAAAATCAGATTAAAAATCACTATAATTCTTCACCACTAAAAATCACAGTTAACATCAACACCGAAGTCATGTAGACCAGCAAAGTACGTCATGCAATCGAAGTTTTATTTACCAGACTTCACCAGCATGACCATGTTCACGAAAATTTGTAAGCTCGTCCGCATATGCAGCATCCCAATAACTCTGAAATCCAAGCATGGATGAGACCGCTTCAGAATCAGGTTCATCCTTATCAGAACTGCACGCAGAAGAATGAACAGGGAATAAGAAAAGGCAGTCTACATCGGTAAATCCAGAATGACGATTCATTCATACAAACACCATTTCCCAACTGTAAATCCTCAAAGAAAACCTCAAATTCCAAAAATCCACACGGTTACAAAGATTCAGATCAGATCTATAAACTATCAGCGGACATCAAATATAAACCACCGTCACTCCCCTAAAATCAAATGCCAAAAACCAAACGAACCAGATCTTAACATTCTACTTAAGTGCCGTCCTCCTCCTTCTAACATCAATTCAAACTATTTCGGTTAGAGCTAAACAACGAGTTTTTGTTTCACCTTAGGCGTATTCAAGAACTTGCAATCTCATAGCATAACAAAAATCGAGGAAGTGAAAATGCAATCAATGAATTATAAATCAACTCCGACACAGTCCACTCCAGAGTAGTAATTTACAAAACAGAAATTGCAATTAATTCGATACAATCTCGTCTTCATTAAAAGTTCAGAGCAAGGCGCGTGCGTGAGTGAGAGAGAATAGAGACAGAGAGAGAGGAAAACCTGTAATCAGAGTTAGGTCGAAGGTTGGCGTTGGAGAGAGCTTCGGCAGCGTCGGCGTGGCGCTGGTCATCGTCCAGAGTGCTTCCGTACTCGCTCTTGATGGACCAGGAGTCGGCGGCTACGGAGCGGTCGTCGTCGGAGACCAGATCGGAGGTGGCGAGAGCCACCGCTCGAGACTGTTGGGAGACGTCGGAGTCCTCCTGCTGCAAGCGGATTCCTGCCATTGAAGAGAGAGAGGAAGGAATTTGGAATCGCGCGCTGAATCGTCAGTAATATGTATATGTAATGAAATGCCTGTTTGTTGGTGCTGACCACTTTCTATTACTACCACTGCATAACGCAGCACCCGTTGTGTGTGACAGACGGAGTGACTGAGTGAGTTTGCCACGTAATCACCGGGTACGGGTTTTCGGATCCAAGTCTCCATGGACTCCAATTGCACATACCAACAAAGCATGCCCATGCCTACTTTTCTTTACCCTCCTTTTTCACTTTTATTAATTAGAGTTTATGATGCATGTGTAGTAAGATCACTCCTTAACAAATTAAATCTATTTATTTATTTTTTTTATTAAAAGTCATATTTTACGTTAAGATATAATAAAGAAACTACATTTTGTACCTAAATATATTTTATTTATTTATTAGTGTTTGACTAATAATTTTAAGCTGGTAAAATAAAAACTTTGTTTGAAATGATTTTAAGATAATATAGATAAAATTCAATCTACTTTACTTAATCCAGGTTAAACGGAAATGGGTTTGAATTAGGTTGGGATTGATCCATCCACCACCAACAATCATGACTGTTTCTTGCACCCCTATGATTTCTTCTTACACCCCTACATTTTTTAAAATCCCAAAATTACTCCTGCTCCTAAGATATATAATAATACACGTTGAAAGATAATTTATGATTTTTAACAATAGTAATTATTGTTGGAAGTTCATCTTGCACCATGGTGTTAGTTCCATGGTTACTGATTTTGGATAGGGTTTCGTAAGCATGTTTGTGTGCGGTGATGGTTGGCTGCAATTTCGTCGTTCTCATACGTTTCTAATATGTATTTTGTTGTCCATCATAGTTTTGGATTGTGTAATTTGTAAATGTTACATATTACACATTCTGTAAGTGATAAATGAAAATTTATACATACTGGAGTGTATAATTTTTGACATTAATTGAAATTTATTTGTTTATTTATCATTTTTCACAAATTTTTTTATAATTATTTACTAGTTATATTTATTTTGGTTGACAATTTAATATTTTTAAATATTAGAATGATGTCCAATAATGTTTTAATAATTTTGATGTTTAATTTGTTTTTTTAAATGATATTTTTATTTTAAACTACATACCTCAATGAAGAAATTTAATGTTTACTTGGACTTATTGCTAGCAATAGGAAATTTACTGTTGTCGTTAATCAAATTCTTGAAAACCTCCCATTCATTTCATATCAACGAACTTACCAGAATATAAAAAAAAATGCGTGTAAAAAACCTCATTCTGGAATAAATGAGATGTCTAAAAGTTTTACAAGGGTAAAGAAAGAAAATGCGTAACACTTAACCAATCAGGAATTCCTAAGTTGTTTCACCCCACATTTAATGTTAGACTGTTTGTTGAATATGAAAGTATCTCAAAATGTGGTTCTCACAAATACCGAAAGGAAGCACAACATCAATATGGACATAAAGTCCCATGGGATGGAACAGAAGAAAGAAGCTAGCACAAAATAAGTGGGATATGGTAACTTCTTTGTGGCCTACAAAGAGTCCTTCCTACAAGCCAAGAGATCTACCGTTAAAATTTCTACTATGCACATACAAAATGTTAAACCCTTCAATAATCTGATACCTAAATGATTTACACAAGAACTGATTATATACATTCACTACTTAGCCATGACATCCATCTTCCGAGTCTGAGAATGAAACATTTCAACTATATCGGAAGCTGTGCTACATTCTTCTGGGTTTCTGTCTGAGACACAGCAAATAAATCTTGGAAATCTGATTGAAATGCCACGAGATGGATGAACTAAACCAATTGCAGCATGATGAACTGGGGATACTGTAAAGTCTGCTCCTTTTATTTCCCAAACGACTTGTGGACAAAACCAAATGTCTGGTTCCTCTCCTGTTTGATAATATGGCGGTTTTTTGGACAATACTTTGTCCCCAGAGAAGAATTCTTTCATCTGCAGTGGAATATAATTTCAAGTCAGTAATGATAAAAAATGTTGCCACCAATACACAGCTTCAAAAAGAAAAAGAAAGCAATAAGCCCTTTTTGCACCACCATTTACGCAATGTTAGATAACTGGATGAGTTAATACTGAAGAAGGATAAGTTTAACCTACATCATTACTACATGATCTATTTCATGATACCAATAAAAGCTCCGCTACTTTTACATAGCAAATTTCTATGATAAACACGGATAGTAGGCCATAGAAAATAATAAAACCGTAAAAGACCTTTATTTTAATGTCTATTAAAGTTTAACAAATTAATTCAATTGTCGACTCTCTGTAAACTGAAAAAAAAAAAATTGTCAAGCCTATACGAACAAAATACTCAAGATTGCTCTCAGAATGCAAATTAGACGTGCAAGGACACCATAATACATTATTATTCTGCTAATACGAAGGATTAATTTGATTTTAAATATTCTGATTAAGTAGCAAGACAAAATAGTCTACCCCACCCTGAAATTTTTTTTCGCTATTCTTCAAGGTTTAAAATGTTTTATAAGTGCCGTCGAATACCATTTACCTGAATATGAATGACCAATGACTACTAACTTGCAGAAGTCGGCATAAAATGGTTAACAATCAACTATTATGAACCTCGACTATCTAAGAAAAAGAAACATAGATCCGACGTTGGTGTTTCAAGACTTCATATTTCAAACACAGGGTTAGAAAAAATATAATTACGATTGCATCCTCAACTTAAGATGAAAGAGTACGTCGTACTTCGAGTTAGCTGGCATGTGGCACAGAATACTTTGAACTCAATAATTTATACCTCTATATAAAATGAATCTGAGAATCCAGACATCACACGACATACACTTTGGTACTCCTCTGTTTCCGGATTGAAACACGCCACAAGAAATGGACTATACCTGCAACAGTAAAAGATCCAGAGATAAACAGCAGTAAAGTAAATCGATATCACACACCAAACAAAATCATTGTGTAGGTGCAGAAAAATGCATACACTTTTCTGCCACTTCATTTTCCATTTGTTGTTTTAACAAAGTTCTTAAGTAATCATGTATGGCATATCAACCAGTGAGCAAAATAATAAAACTTCATGACTTTAGGAGACACAAATTTCTATTCCAATTACCAAGCCTGGCCTATTGCATGACATAATTATGCTATTTTTTTACCAATCACATGGAACATAATATTTAAAACACCTTTTTCAAACTAAAGTACCACTCAGACTTTTGGTGATTTATATTTACTATAATGCATCACAGTTATTGATCATATTCATATTTTAAATTTGTTAGATAGGACTATTGTTTTATTGGTTGCACCTAACATAGATATATCACACAAAAATTTCATACTAAAACAAATTATCGTCCATCTTTTGATTTGTACTGAGCATCTGAGAATAAAAGGACAGACACTATGCACTAAGAACTTTAGGCTTGCACCCATGTCCGATTAAAGCATAGCCCTAACTACTGAATGCAAGGGTTTCTCATTACCTAACCACTTGCTTCCACAACCTAACCCCTAGTAAAAGTTGGTTGTCCAGTCACACTGCTGTTTGATGGGTCAAAAAAGTGGCAATTTTGTGGTAGCTGACAACGAATTTCCCCCGTCAAAACCTGTCATTTTTTAGGGTTTTAAGGGGTAAACTCAACCACCCAAAAGGTTAAAAACCCTATCCTCTACATATTTTCCCCATGCTTTCTCATCTCATCTATCTGTTGGAGATCTCTTCTATCTGTTCTGCCTCAGTGCAACAAGAGCAGTAGAGCCACTCAGTATACACTATACCACTAGCAATTTGGGTGTTAGCTGTTACAAGCTACCACCACTATATGAGATTGATAAAGCTTCAAGAAAATGAAATTTCTAGATACAAAACCATTATTTGCCTTCACCTAGCATTCTTTTGACAGAACTTACTAAAAATGTGAGATAAAATAATTTTAAGTTAATGAAAATTTCCTTGCAGCATCTTAAAATGATTTTAAGAGAAAAAAGTATGAAGATTAAAATTACCATCCAGCTTTCCTTCCATTTCCATGCCAAGCACCAATCGGTACTAAATCAAGAGTATCATTTAATCCTTCCACATAATCTCGCTTGACCTACAAAACGAATGATCAGAACATGATACAGATTTAATACCTAAAGTGTCCATAGTACTGCAGGACAAATACTAACTTTTAACCATTTATCAGAACGCTTTGATGGAAAATAGCCAGCCTCAACATCCAATGTTTTCACCATAATTCCTTCGCATGAAGAGTGGATTGCCTCTTCCAGGAAAGTATTTATCTTAGTTAATGTGGCTTCGCAAGCTAAGCAAGCATCATCTGCTTCAATCTACATTTAAGTTACTCATATACATGCCTTCGTTAAATACATTTCAGTAGAAAATAGTAATCATAATCTGGAGCACTTACAGTTGTTTCCTTTGCATATTCAAAATACCCAGGTTTCTCATCATAGAATAAATCCTTCAGATCTGTATAATTTCCAAGACAAACAAAAGGATTAATACGAAAGTGTAATTACTAGTAACAGTACATTTTTGCCTCAGAAAATGCAGAAGATTTACGGATGATTAGATGCATACACTTTCGTCTAAGGCGTAGAGGAAAACCCAATAACCTGCAAATTCGAAGGATATATCAACTGATTAAGGATAATTTGTCTCATTATATATCAAATCAATACTGCCCAGACAAACCTACTTTGCGTTTAATTTGAGATTCATATGTTTGATCATCATTGATTAACTGCACAATTGTGCATTATGTGAAAATGCCACATTTTTTAACCCTATCTGGTTTTATGGTCCATGCTACATAAGATACAATTGTTTGCGCCATCTTGTAAACAACCCACACTATAATCCCCCATAATCAATATACTATCCAGTCTTATCCAGTAGTCAGGGTAAAACATCTTTAATATGCATCAAACATGGCCATTGTGTTCATGCGAAACATTTGCTAAGCTCATCACATATTTATATAAAATTGAGTAAAAGATAATTACTGCTCTCCGTTTGCGAACATTATATCAAAGACAAAGATGCATATATCCACCTGCACGAATAGAAGAAATCAGAATTAAATCCAAAGAACTCAACTGCAAACAGAGTTGAACAAGAGAACTAGAGAAGTACAAAGAATGACAAGAAATCCTACTACAAGAACTAAAGCAAAACCAAACCACAGCAAATACAAAGGAACGAAAGCAAAGAAAAATGACCTAACTAAAAAAAAAAGAAAAGAGCATAATTTCAACAGAGCTCTCCAATCCCTCTCAAATTTCCATGTTCTTGATAATTAAACAAATGTTGTAATACTTCATCCGACTAAACCCTTCGAAAAGTTAGCAAGTCAGGTAACATTCCTAAGATTGTTCAATAATTGGTTTTGATCAAAGTTAATTACCACCTGAAGTTAAATAATTATGCTCTCCATAGAACAAACCAATATCAACATGCATTCTGGTAAGATATTTATTGAGTAGGGGTAATTTTCTTCTTGCCAAACCCTTGTGAAAGTCCAAAGCTCCCTCTAAGGTCAAGTCTTTTATTTTGAACTGTAGTACTGAATAGAATTAATACAAATGACATGTTTTATAGGCCAAATGCAAATGTCCAACCTTGATGCTCTCTGCTGTAACTAACGCATCTTTTCCACCTCTCCCACGTGATGATAGCTCCTGGAAAGACATAATCCTGCATCCATTTTTCCTGTCTATACCAACAACCTGAAAGGTACAGGAACCATAAAGTTATGAGTGAATACTAGGAGCTAAGTTAATAAGAACAAATATAAAGAATATCATGGCAATAATTTGTTATACTTCCGCATCCATTACGAAAGTTGATGCAACAGGCTTGCTGGATTCCTTGATTATGTCAATCAGATCAGGAAATCTTGAAGTTGTTTCGTCCCCATTTCTAGAAAAAACACGAATCGATCCATCAACTAATTTGTGAATTTGGGCCCGCTGACCATCATACCTGGGATTAAATCAAACTCAATTTAACAAGTGGTGTGAAAGAAAAATGCAATTCATCGAGAACAAGAGAGATAAGTAATACAGAAGCGGATCTTAACTCTTAATAAAATCACCACCTTAAAAGGTATTAATAAACACACAAATTTTGAAACTCAGAATGTTAAAATTTTGGTTTTTTTTTCACCGACAATCTGATTACTCTGATTTGTACCAGCTTTCCTACCATCGTAAAGATTATTTCTAAAAGATTAAATCTTCAATTTTTATACTAAAAGATGTTGTCTTTTTCTTTTTAATAGTCAAATTGGAAAAAACATTAGAATTCACAGTCAAGAAAACTTAACAGAACATCATCTCATAAGTTTGTATACACATGACTGAAGACAGGCAGCGCAACTGTATAGGATGCAGGATTGTACAGCATTAACATACAATTTGACAAACTTTGAAGTGATTAGAATTGCAGATAAAATTACTATTTTAATATGCACATTGCTTTAACAACCAACCTGTTCTGACTGAAATTTCGTATGACCCAACTAATATATACCACCAAAGTATTAATTAGTTGAATGCAATGACATGTCAAGAGAGAAGTGAACATAAAAGGGAAACAACTAACTAATTAAGGAATTGGGCATACTTATATTCACATGTAAATGCTTTATTTTCAAATAGCTTCAGTGCTTGAGGAATACCATTGGTGATCCTATGAAGAAATGGAAAATAAAAGAATCAATTGGGAGTTAATAAAGTAAGTGAGGACTTCTGAAAACCACTGAAGTTAAGAAAAGCTTCTAGAAACTTGAAATCAAATCATCAAGATTTGAGGAAAGGGCCAATATATGGAATAGTATATACTTTGCTAGCATAGGCTTAATTGGTATTCCTGGAACCATTGATAAACTTGAAACCGAAAAATCAATGCCTTTGTTCATGAGAGATGGAACTATTAGATCCTGCATAAGTAAATGACAATGAAATTTTTTAACATCATGAGACTGCTTTATTACTTAGAGTCAAAACTAGGCAGATTATCCTTCATGAATCAACCTTAAAACAAACAAATTTGAATTACAGACAATCAAGAGAAAATCATAACTTAAACAAAGTTATTGGAACCTAAAGAGAAAGCACTGGCAAAATTGTATATCAAGCATTATCAATATTTGATCATATTAATCTATGCAGTAGATATAAACTTATTATAATGCCTATACTTTCTCACTTTCAACAACAGCTTCTCAGAAACAAGAAAACATTTAGTGCCTGCCAAGCTTCCTATCTCCTACCACATGAGAGTACTATACAGTCTTAACATCAGCCTAATGAATGCAACAATGTTGTGGTCTCAACCAGAAAATCTACCTAAATGCAAGACTCACAATTCAAATATACAATACTTACCAGATTTGGCAGTATGTTATATGCTTCAACAACTGCCATAGAAAGAACCTGGGGAGTGAGGAAAAAAATTTAGTGACAGATATAAATTGTCAATTCTACTATTAGAACATTTTTTACAGACAAAACAAGCCCGTTGAACCTTGTTTTAACTGCTACTGCACTTTTTTCTCTCCCTCTCATCTGAAAATATTTCTTCTATTGTATTAATACCGAGTAATGTAAATGAAATTTTTTGTTGTTCCATTGCTAGACATTCAGGGGTTTAAAGCAACAACCATCTTGATGATGTCTGTTGAATTTGGAAGGAGGGCATTTAGAAAGATAGGGAACATAATCTGAGAGAAGGGAAGCATTTATTCTTGTAGAATGTAATGTACAGGTCTTGCATATAGTCCGTATACACAGAATAGAGTCTTCAGGAATTACTGGAGATTATTCCCTCGGATTTATAACAAGTGAGGCAACTTCCTAGAAAACCACAACCCATGAACATTAAAGCATTTTAGCATTGGATAGTTGAACTAAAAACTTCTAACAAGTCCTTGTATTATATGTTACTCATGTTTTTTTCCTAAATGTATTATTAAATAAGGTTATCTTGTATACTAACAAAATCTTATCTCCTATTATCCTTTGAAATGGAAGTTCCTCTACATAGAAAATGGTAGATGAAAAGTAATTATTATGAAAAAATAATATCAATCATTAAAAAGAAAATAGGGAAACAAAATAGCACATTAATACATTAACTTGACCATAGGTAAAAGAATATCACTGCTGAATGGACCTGAAGCTTCTCCTTCAAATTTTCTGCAGTTCCTCCTTGGTGAAAAGTAGGGCTAGAATTCATAGCAACAGCATGAGCCAATGCAGGCAAAACAGTTCTAAGCATGGCCCCAATCCTTAAGTTCCTAACCTACACATAAAGCAGAGTTCAAACTTGGACTCAAGCAAACAAGGATACAAAATCTGTTTGTCTATCTATCTATATATTGATTCAAGGCATTAGAGAAGCATACTACCAGTCACCATCACATACATACATTCAGAATAGATATTGAAATGTAATGTGTAGAGAGAAGATTACACAACCTAGTCTGATATATATGACTGCTGATGAACTAATGGTAATTGAAATCTCTTTGGATTTAATTGTATACAGTATACCATGGTAAATAAGGCATGCAAGGGAACTGCCTACTTCTTAACTTGATTATTATGTGTAAAATACAAATTACCACATCTTTCCTTCAAATATCTGTCAGAGGGTTTGTTGTTATATACTAAGACACAAAAATCATTATGTGGATTTCACTCAGTACCTCTCGATTTTTTATTTCCAGTTGCAACTGATTGATTACCTATAAGTTAGCTACGATGAGCTGTCAGTGTAATATGATTGGATTAGCTTGCTGCTTTCTAATATGTATAAATACAGACTGTTGTACTAGGAATAAACATATTTTAGACATTTCAGTTTTCCAGTTGAAATAAACCTTAGTTTTCTCTCTCTGGTTCTTTCAGATTACAATAGTTTCTACATATTCAATATTGAGAAAGAAGGCTTGCTGTGTGCTTCTGCTTTTTAATGGCATGGAGGACCGTATTATTAAATGGAAAAGTTAGGAAACAGTATTTTCTCACAATCATGTTTCCTCTCTGCATAATCCTTAACGGCAAACATTATTTTTGGTGCTTAATAAATTATATTATTCAATGAAGATGTTTGCAATGATTTTGCACACAATATACATTACACAAAAAAGAAAAAGAAAAAAGAGTAACAAGTAATCACAAAAGCAAACTAAGACCACGACAAGGAAAAAACACTGTTAAGTGGACACAACTATTGCAAGTCCTGTACATTAAGTTGAAGACCCTAAAATCAAGGATGATTACAAAGGGATTTATTCCAGGTGATTTATGGCACACTGCTGGGTTAAAGATAAAGTGAAGTAAAAGCTGGGTCAATTCATAAACTGTGCTTCGTTCTTGCCTTCTTGGTCATAAGAACATCCCCTTTCTCATGTTTATGATCACCATAAGAAATGTCATGTCTGCACGTAGCAAATAAATCAAGTCACGGTCTCATCTGTTTTGATATAAGATAAACCCAAATCCAAATTCCTCACTCCTTAGAATCTTTTTTTCCTTAGACCCAGTTCAAGCAGTATACACATACCTTGATGAAACTTATCTAAAATATGGATAAATACCTAACCGTAACAATCTGTAAGTGCCCCTATAAGCCATTAATAAGCTTTATGGCATATCTAATAAGGATAAACATCTAATATAACAATTTGTAACTGTAAGTGCCTTGACCCTGGAATAGGATAAGCTTCCCTCCCACCAAACTTCTATGTACAAAAAAAAAAAAAAGATATTTACCAAGGTCCGAACAAGAAACTTCATCTCCTTCTCTCGGCAGGAGTGCATGAGATGAACAATGATGCCTTTCTTGCGAGATATACTTCCATTGCCTGTTTGTACACTGATGAACACTATATGAGAGCATGTAGAGCAGAACTAAAAGTATACCTAACTAAAGAGCAATACAAACATTTAAATTACATGTGACCCTAAACCTAACACTGACTTTAACTATACATTTGAAGAATAAACAATTGGGAGGTATAATATCCGTTGTGTGATGTTAGGTTACCATACAAAACAGAATGGCTATTAATACCTTATCTTTTGTAGCGCAGAGAAAACATCCTTAATTAGAAGTGGTGTAGGTGGTGCAAGTAATCTCTGTGTTTGACGACATTCTTGAGCAACATCACCTTTAACCATTGCAGGTTATTTCAGTTATTCAAAATCCTCATAGATGGAACAGGTTTAGTAGTAAAACAGTAAAAAACTATGAAAAAACTTATCGAACCGAGATCACCAAATTTGTTATACATCTCCCGTATTTTCAAACGATTTGTTCCACAGGCCTCTTCAAGTGCTGCAGTGACTAAACTTCCACCAATATTTAATTCCTGACATTAATAGTATAATGTAAGGAACTTTGTTAGTGCATAACAACACTCTTATTGCAATACTGCACACTCCTATTCTCATTCAAACTTAAACAAGTAACAACCAGAAACAGTAATTATGTTTTCAGATAGGTATTTTTATTGTTTGAATAAAGTGATCTTCAAATTGACTGATAGATTTTAGTGGTCAATTTTAATAGAACTTGGAAATACTATTCGCTTCAAGGGGGGAAGAAAAATCATGCAGAGTGACATAGTGAACCCTGCTTCCTACATGCTCACACGTTATTTATAACTATATCTAAAGGGGATGTGAGACTTTGGTTTATACATTTTTGTGTTCCATTTAGCCCCTATATTTTCTCCATAGTTCTCTACTCATTCTTATGACTACACTCTTCAAGCCATGCATATCACTGTATCAGTGATAGGTATTCAGACCTATAACGAAATACACTTTAGAAACTGCAGATCTTTATTCCAACAACACACCATGTTTCCTCCAATGTAGAGAAACCAAACACATACAACTTCTAGTTATTCGAGAGAACCAAACTCTCCACTCCTCCTATTCTTTTCAGAATTTACAAAACAATGAAAACCTGCTAAAATAACTGTCTACACAGACTTTTATAACCTACCCACAGACAGTTATAATTGTCTGTCCTTTTTATTTCTTCTAACATAAATGTTACCCTTGAACCTATCAATCAGCAAACCACTCTTTTATTTTATTGAATTTAGTATTCTTAGAAAAAAAATAGAGGCACTTCGTGCTTCTTTTACCATAAAACAATAAATAAATAATTAGGGTGTTGAAATCATGGTTACACTCGTTGTTGTGATCCAAAAAAAAAAACTGAAGAAGAATAAGGAATAGAAATTCAAAGAAAAAGTAGAAATACAAAATGGCCAGTTTTGATACAAACAGTCGCCCTCAAGCTATGATGAAGGACTAAAATGCCATACATAACAAAGTGCTCATGCGTTCACCAAGGAAATTAGGTCCTAGGCTTAAAACATTGATACAGCACATATAAAAGAGCAAAGGAAAGGATAAATATTTTACTTTGATTTATTCATTTATTTTCAAATTACTCAGCTACCGTTTCATTCTCATCAATGACAAAGATTATAAGACCAAATTGTCAAGACCAGGAAACCTACCTTATTTTCATGATCTGCAGCAATTTTGTTTGTGCATAGATACACAGCAGGAAGCACATCTGCCGGAGATAAAGCCAACAAACTGTGTGATAGAAACATTGCATACAAACAATGATCTTCAATTAGCCAATTAGGGGAAAAACTGTTTCATTATTCCATAAAAAAAGAAGAGAGGCAATGGATAATACAAAGAGTAGTAACAAGTGAACCTTCTAAACATATTGCATAACAATGAAGTAGCTTTAATCTTTCCTCTCTCACCCTCAAGCAGGTTGAAGGTTCGTGCAATATGTAAATATGGTGCAGGCTGTCCATCTCTCCAACATGCTGCTCATTTATGTCCATTGTATACATAGGTTACAAGACAGAACAGGAATATAAAAAGTAAAAAGTAAAAGTAAAAGCATGGGGCTGTACAACTTCTAAACCAGTACATCCGAGGGGATAAAAACTAAAACAAACCATGTTCTATAGGATTGTATTTCTCTGGTGGTAGAGATAGTTGAGTAGCATCTACATTATCTTTTAACACTTTCTGCCCAGAAATATCTGGCATAATTCTTAATTCCTCTGATGCATGTTTCTTTACTAATGGTCTATCAATTTTGCTCTCCTCTTGAACTGATAATTCATTTTCGCTAAGATTTCCAGAATTACAGTAATATATATCCAGTGCTTTATTGACATCTCCTTTTGTCTTCTTAATTATAGTCATGGCATGGTTCTTTAATGACTCATTCCCATTTATTATCTGCAAAAATTGATCGATTTCATCCTTGTAAATTTGTCCAACATCAGTTGGCAACAAGTCTTCAACTTCAGAGCTTTGTTCAAGCTTTGGTTCAGAATTATCAGATTGAGTACCACCAGGAATCTCAGGTATTACTTTCTTGAAGAATCTTGTAAGTGTGGACTGCTTTGAATCACTTGGTTCGGATTTTGCTTTGGCTTTGCCTTTTTTGTTTGGCTTACTGTCACTGCTTCTCTTCCTTTTGGCAGGAGAAACGGGACTAGGTACTTTATGCCTCAGGATAGTTGATTTAGAGTCTTGACTAGGAAAAATGTTAATATTTTTGCTAGTGTTGTTTGCATTATTAAGGCTAGGTTTTGCAAATGAATCAGTGTCATTTAATGTGCAGCACTTGGATGTTGAAACAGGAGTTTGACAGGAAATCACTTGCTCGTGAAATTCAGTTTCACGTTCATAGAAATTAGAAACAGCTTCAACGACATTACTCCCAGAGATGCTGATCATATCCAGCATCTGGTCTCGGGTGACCCACGTGGGTAAACTACAACTAAGTTCTCGAATTATTTTCTCTTTTTCTTCATCGGTCAGCAAAGTAGGATCTTCTGTACAAGTATCTCCCATAAAAGAATGCAAACCCACAGCCACACCTGGATCAATACTCTTATCACCTTCTACCTCCTGCAATGGAATGACTTCCTTGCCCATGCCTTGACCTGGTTCCAGAACATCACTAACACCCTTCTCAGCCTTGAAACCCACTTCACCAAGGCCACGGCAAAAACCCCTTAAAAACTCATGCTTGTTAGCAGTCTCATCAACTAACCCGGCAAAGTGCTTCATAATTCTGTTAGCATGTTTACTGTCACTCTTCTCAACATCCAAACCCACAGTCGGAACAACCCGCTTTGGCTTCAAAAACTTCACATACTCCCTGAGCTCATCATAGTTCGAGTGCTCACTATAGGGCACAAGATGAATCTGAAATGAATCCTTGCACTTGACCGCAAACCTACTGCGCTTCACCTCATAGGTCCAGCCGGTAGGAACAAAGCCCACAACCCTGGAGTAGGAACCCCCTCTTTCAGCCATAACCTCCTTCATCTTAACAAAATTAGGCCTAAAGTATGGCCAAGTCTCCCCCAACACATTCCACCCAACAACATGAATATTACTCTCCAACCCATTCTCAGTAAACTCACCGCTCTCCCCATACCCAAGAACCCTCAAAACCTCCATCTTCCTAGCATCAACATGTATCTTCCTCTTAAATCTACGTGCAAGCTCAAGCAAAATCTTCTCCTTCCCAATAACATAAGTAGCAACAAGAAATAGAACTTTATCATTACTATCACCACACTCACGCTCAACCCTCTCCACAACACTGGCAACGTAATCAATAGATTCCTCTTGCGAGGGGAAAACGAACTTAGGATTACAATATGTCGTGTCGAGAAAAACCGCATCGGCACCGACGAAGGAGGCGAGGGCGGGCTCCGAAACCATGGAACTAGAAAAACGGAAGTCGCCAGTGTGAACGTACCTTAGGGCGGCGGTGCCATCGGCGCAGGGGATGGCGAAGAGGAACTGTACGGCGCCGGGGCAGTGGTTGGCGTCGAGGAGGGTGACTTGGGCGCCATCAATGCAAAGGGTTTGGCGGAGGGGAAGAGGGACGACGAGGGCAGCGGGGACGTGGAGGATGTTGCGGAGGAGAGAGGCGGTGGTGGCGGAGCAGAAGATGACGCCGCGGGACCAGGAGGCGGAGAGGCCGGTGTAGTGGTCGGAGTGGAAGTGGGAGAGGAAGTAGGAGTGGGAGTAGGGGCCGGCGTGGCGGAAGGCGTCGACGAGGAAGCGTGTGTGGGGGATAAGTTTGGAGTGAGGGAGGGAGGAGGGGAATGGGGAGAGGGAGGTGGAGGCTGGAGGAGGAGGGTCGGGTTGAAGGGTTTTGAGGGCTGTGAGGAACAGCTGGGTGGAGTCTAGGGTTTCAGAATCCATGGAAGTTGGAATAGTAAGCAATCACATTATGAGAAGGAATAGGAATGGAAGAAGAAAGAGGATCCTCAGGTCTGGAATCGGAAATGATATGGTATTTGCTTTCAAAACTAGTTTCAGGTGCTTGAGACACAGTGACTGACTGGCGCCAAAACGTTCACATTCTGTTACTTTGAGGTTCTCCCACGTCTGTTTTTTCAGGTTCGGAGGCGAAAAGTTTCCAGTTTCAGGCATAACTTTATTTGTGGCATGAAAGGATGCTTAGATATTAACTTCTATGAGGGAACTATATTAGTGGCATGTGATAGAATAATCTAATTGAGAATTTTCTTTTTTTATAGCTACGAGAGTTTAAATATAATCCATATAATAGTGACTGATTTCACAACATATTCACTTTATAGAAAAAACTTGTAGAATATTATGATTTATATTGAACCGTTAACAAGAGACTTGAGAATATAATGAACTTCAATTATCTCACAATTTATCATCTGGATGGATTCATATATTTTGTTTAAATTATAATCCCACATCAAGTAACAGCAATTGCTTTCCAGACTTAATAAATTTGTTCCTGCCAATCAAAAAGTAAAAGTGATCTAAGCATAGCCTCGCCGCTGGAGTCTTCAATATGCACACAATTAAATCTTTTCTGAAAAAAAAACAGCCAAATTTAACCTTATATAATCTGAATAATCTTTACTGACAAGTCTTTTACAAGGAAATTTCGGAAATATTGGTATGCTACGGGAAAAGTAAAAAAATAAATATTTTCAGACTCTGTAGGAAACATGGGGCAAAAAATTAAATATTTTCAGACACTGTAGGAAACAGAGGGCAACATTGCACAAATTAAAAGAAAAAAGAAAATATTAAACAAAAAGGGTAAGGGGGCAAGAAGCACCCTCGGTGGAGTACATATATCGGATTACGCAGACTTTGCACTCGCAGGCAGTTGTCAGTGGCGGCGAAATTTACTCTACAAAATGCTGACTATACTACAACTTATACTTGTCATTTCTTTTGCCTTCTCTTGACGGGTCCTTCCGTTGAAAGGAATTTCTTTGTCTTTGCTATGCCACTTTTCTGCCATTCAAAAACATTTCCATAAACCTTACAGTTTCAAATTTTCAATTTAAACTGTCACGGGTGTTCTTTACCTTCTTTCTGAATCTCTTTTTATGCTGCTTCTGCCCTTCGTGATTATTCTCAGCATTATCCTAAAAAGATCATAAATGATTTAGTTGATCAAGCATGTTCAATTCAATAACAAGTAATTTTTTATTTAGCTGATGAGTTGAAGTAGACTGCAATTGAGCTGTTGAAGAACCACCCACCTCGGTATCTTTAGATGGTATCTCTATCTCTTGATTCTCAATCTCACCATCACTGTTGAGCATAGCCTTCAGTCTACCCTCACTAAGTAGTTTTACAGATCGAGCATGTCTCTGCAGTAATTACAAAATCAACATTCCAACAATAAGAAGCCTTACAAAATGACAAGAAAAAGTTGCTTAATGTCCTCTCGAAGTTGATCATATTGTCGAGAGTTGAATGAAATGCTAGTTTTACCCTCTTTCTGGCTCATGCTAATCCCTATCTCATAGGGCATTAAACCTGTGACTTAGGTAATGATTATCATTACAGTTAACGGGATACTGTTGTGCATCCACAAATAATTATCATTTAATTAGTGGCATGATGGGAAATTTCTCAAACAGATCCTACAAGGAAGAGTGTATTGTATTTAGGGGGGCAAAATTCCCAACTAGGTGGTTTAGTTTGGAATGAACGATTAATCTGAGCAAACACAAACTAAAAGCAAGTCCTCCACCTACAGCGGAACAACCTTTAACATTACCACATCTATAAAGTTTGTTTTTGGTATATTAGGCCAGAGCAAATAAATTGCCGGCTAGGGGAAAAAAGTAATCCATCTCTCTACGAGTGAACCTATTATGGCATTGTGGCTAAGAAATAGAAGGGAAGGAGATTAGACTAGTTTGTCTTTCCAGTGTTTCATTAGAATATCATCTCTTTTTATCCTTGTAGAAAAACAAATATTTCAACCGGTAAAAACTAAATACTCTAATAAATTACATTTACATTCATTACATCCTTTGATGAAAATTTCACACCATTTTGACCCGGTTATATACTACCACTCACTTAAAGGATTCCCGTGATAATTTCCCTTCCCAATAACATTTATCCTCATTGTATTATAATATTAACCTAAACTTGTTACTGTCAATATAGTCCAACATCCTTTTTATCTGATATACACTCAATGGTGAACAAGCCTGCTTTTACGGATTGTATAAAAAAAATGTAGCAATGTAGGATCCCGAAGTGTGTCAGCCCTATCCTAGAGTATGTAAGTAACTATGAACTTATTGTTGTTTCCTTTCCCATATCAAAGCTCAACCCCAGTACCAATTTCCAGCCAAATGTATGCAATAATGACAAATGACAAAGAACAAAGAAGATGTCAGAGCTGCATAGCGGAATAGTTGGAGTGATACAGTAAACCAAGAGGGAGGTGAATTAGTTTCTTACAAAAACTTGTGCCTTAAAAATTTCTCTCAATCAAACTTACTTAGCAGATAAAAATAACAAAGCAAAAGAGTAAGGAAGAAAAAAATTTGCATAGATGATTTTATACTGGTTTGGATCTTACCAATCATACGTCCTGTTACTAATCTCAGAAACAAAGACTAACGATTCATTATCACAAAACCAATCAAACTTACAATCACAAATTGAAAGATTTAGAATACACCTCTCTTGACGCACAAGAGATGAACCACACTTCCCTAGACACACCAAGGGACGAGCACCTCCTTCGACAACAAATGATGACCTCGACTTCAAATACCTCCTTTGACACACAAAGAATGATCACTTCTTCAGAACACTTCTTTCGACACACAAAGGATGATCGGCTTTTCCTCAGCAACCGCAACAACACTCTATCGCTCTGCAGACACCAAGTTTTCCAAGCCTTACAAGAATACAAGTGGTTCAGAGAATTCACAAGTTTTCAAGTGTTCTAGATGTCCTAGAATGAGAAATGAGAGTTTATTTCTAGACTTAAGCAATGGACACCTCCTAATTTTCGTTTTCAGGCATTCTCACTGTAATAATCGATTAATTTAAGTTTTAATAGATTATTCACTCAAGGACCATAATAACAGATAATCCAACGGCTAACAACTCCAATGGTTAGAAGTGTTATCAATTACTACTCATTTTAAGACTTTGTTGTAATAATCGATTATTCCTAATCGATTAACGTTAATTGATTACCACTCATTTTAATCGATTATTCAAGTGTGGTTTTGACTCTAAACACAATTTTACATATCTAAGTTATAAGGGATCAAAAACCACAAGAAACCTAAGTCCTATACAACAAATTAAACTCATTACAAAAGCTTTACAATACAATACAAGTCTTCAAAAGATCTTCTTGTTCTTGATTGCTCATAACTTGATTTGGGCATCATCAAAACTTCATCTCTTCATCCATTACCTTTTGGTCTGGCTTAGGGTTTACCCAGTGCTTCGAAACAAATCTTATGTTGATGCACGGGATCACTCATCAATTCAAATTGATTGGCCATCTTTGATTTCAGACATTATGCTAAAAGCCAAGAGGCTCAACTGATCTCCTCTCCATTCGCGCTCCTAGTATCTCAAAATTTGCAAATATAAAGGAGGTGATGTTTCTGGAGAAAGAGCGTTGCATGTTCTCCCTACTCATCAAATTGGTGGTAACACACTAAGTCAAATGGGCTTTGTGAGACAAGGAAACATCTATATGCACTTTGGAGATGTTGGACTACAAGCAAAAGAAGCAGGAGAAGAAGACATTCCAATGCCTGATCCGACAAATGTAACTGAACCATCGGACAACTCTTCATTTTCCTGTCTAGATAACATTTCTAAGCAACTATCTCAGATGACAACTCTACAAGACCTTAGGCATGAAGAGATTTGTAATCATCTTAGAGATATAGATGAGTTGTTTAGTAGTGTAGAAGGTTATCCCAATAGGTCCAAAGAGAGCGATGACTTTTAAGTACTTTATTTTTTCTTTGTAAGCTTTGATTTCTTCTTTTCAATTAAATTTGTTATTGTTTTAAATGCATACATTCTATTTATTAAGGGCGATTATTATTGTTTAAAAGAGAGTTTAATTTAACACAACTTTTTAATTATCATCAAAAAGGGGAGAAAATGTTTAAAACTTATTTTTTCTAAGTCCACTAATGTCTTTTTTCTTCCTCAAGTTGTGTTTGTATACAGATTATTACAAAAGACTTTAAACCAAAGAATTTTTTATCATCATCAAAAAGGGAGAGAATGTTAGCAAAATGATGAAGATATGATGTTTTGATGATGCTCAAATCAAGCCATGAGCAATAAAGAACAAGGAGATCTTTTGAAGACTTGTATTGTATTGTAAAGCTTTTGTAATAAGTGTCATTTGTTGTATAGGACTTAGGTTTCTAGTGGTTTTTAATTCCTTGTAACTTAGATATGTAAAATTGTGTTTAGAGTCAAAATTGCACTGGAATAATCAATAAAATGGGTGGTAATCGATTAACACTATGAATAATCGATTAATAGGAGCTTTAATCGATAACTACTATTCGATTAACCCTTAAATTAATCGATTAACACTTCTAACCATTGGAGTTTTTAGCCGTTTTTAGTTGTTGGACTATCGTTATTCTTGTCCTTTAGTGAATAATCGATTAAAACTTAAATTAATCGATTATTACAGTGAGAATGGTTGAAAACGAAAATTGGGAGGTGTTCATTGCTTGAGACTTATAAATACACTCTCATTTCTCATTCTAGAACATCCAAAACACTTGAGAACTTGTGAATTCTCTGAACCACTAGAGAAACTTGTATTCTTGAAAGGCTTAAGAAACTTGGTGTCTACGGAGCGATAGAGAACTGTTGTTGTTGCTGAGGAAAATTCGATCATACTTTGTATGTCGAAGGAAGTGTTTTGAAGGAGTGATCATCATTTGTGTGTAAAAGGAGGTGTTTGAAGTCGAGGTCATCCTTTGTTTGTCGAAAGAGGTGTTCATCCCTTGGTGTGTCTGGGGAAGTGTGGTTCATCCCTTGTACGTCAAGAAAGGTGTATTCTAAACCTTTCAACTTGTAACTGTGTGATTGTAAGTTTTATTGGTTTTGTGATAGTGAATCGTTAATCTCTTTTTTGAGATTAGTAACTGGAAGTAGGATTGGTAAGACCCAAACCAGTATAAAATCATCTATGCAAATTTTGTTCTTTCGTATTTTTTTACTTTGTTATTT